ATTCAAAAGATAAGTTTAACAAGAATGACGATCTTAGTTTAGCTTTCGATTGAGACGAAAGAGAAGCAGCTGAATCATTGTAATACTTAAACTAGCAAGATTAATCAGGTTTTTTTAGTATAGATAGGAATATAAAATCATCAATGGATGATCAATCATTTACTTGGGTAAACAGTATATTTCTCTATAAAGCAGGATGTCATAAAACTTTTGATAAAAAAAGCCAATCTTCGGTATACTGCGACATTTGCACAAAATGTTAGTAGTCCGTAGTGAAAGCAAAAATACGCAAATTTTCAGCTGCTAATAAAGTATGAATGGGAGATATGATAAAACAATTACAAGGACTAACCATTCCCGAGCAAAGACTTATTGCTCTCTACCAACACAACAGCTGCATTGTGAAATTATATTCGTCTTTTCATTCGATAAGCACAGCTCAATCAACTTTAAAAGGCAACTGCATAAGCTTTCCTCAAGATTTTATTAACATAGCTACTATCCTGTCATTAGAATTAGATGATCTATGTGATTCTCTAAAAATTATTTTTGTTAATTGTCGCACTCCACAAAGAAGTCAACTAAAAAATATTTTGACTGTTCAAAAACAAAGATTCCTGATGCACTTAAATGACTTAGTCCAAACAATATACTCCATCGATATGTTACAATGAATCAATCAACAACCAATAAATTACTTGAGAATGATGTCCCGGAGTGTTCCTGGGCAACAATGGAAATTTCCACTAAGGTAGAAGCGATTGAAAATGAAAGGACAACTTATATTCTTAACTCTCTGATCAATGCATCTGAGTCCAACACTACAACAGCTATACCAATAATTGCGAGGTAAAGCAAAAAGGCATTGATATTTGTATCTACCATTGTTTGTGTTGTAGTGCTATCTTGCATGTTAACGATGCCAAAATTTCGTTTGATGACGTTGTTGAACACCTTTTAGAATGAATAAAGGTACAAATGTGTGATAAAACGCTGACAAAAAAACATCGAGGAAAACGTTGAACAAGATACTGTGTATATAATTCCTTGTGGTAACAAATCGGCCACTGAATATTCTAATCCAAATCTTTTATTGGGTATCTTTCCTATATGTTTTCCATATGGATGTGATACACTTGAAGATTACTCTCAACCGGCCCAAACTAATTTTCGTGAGCATCTCAGATATCTTCTTTCGTACGGAGATCATCGTTTTGAAGAACACTTCTCATTCATATTTGTTGCCTTCAATATTTTACAACACCGAATCGCGTGCTTCCATGCCCAATTAATGACATCAAGGTCGTACTTTCAGCAATCCGCACAACTTCTTGAGTTATTGAGTTCTGAAGATGTAATAACGGCCCTTGTCAATATCTCAAAAGCATCTTATTCCAAAGTTACTAATGAAAGAATAAATACGCTCATGAAGCATATGAAAGTGGTTGGTGGTCATGTTATGGATTCAGTTCATTCACGGTCGACTCTTAGTACGAAAATTCATTCTTTGTGTTTTAATCTCGGTCTTCCAACTCTCTTCCTACCAATAAATCCAGGCGATATACATAGCCCAGTGGCATTTTATTTTGCATGTGTTGATCTAAGTCTTGACAAAGTTCTGCCAGAAGTATTGAGCACAAGTTATGGACATGCTCAAATTATCGCAACACATCCTATTGCTATTGTAAAATTCTTTAACTGTTTAATAAAAAGCATCTTGAAAAGTCTTGTGCTCGGTAGTGTTCTTGGTCCTACAAAAACATATTTCGGCACTGTCGAGAATCAAGGCAGAGGCTCGCTTCACTTTACACCTTCTAATTTGCCTCAATCATGAGTTTACTCCAGCACAATTAAAAGAAAAGGTTCAACACGAAGATTTTCGTGAAAATTTACTAAAATATTTAGAAGATGTTGTAAAAGAAGATTTAGATCCATTTCGAGGTGATACATTTAGCACCGTTTGAATTTGTGATTTAAAATATTCGCATTTGCCTATTTGACGAAATTTCGTACCCTGAGAATACGTTATCGTTGCTTTAGTCTAGAGTTGAGCTTTCAACTAATTCTCGATAATCCAAAATGCATTTAATTCGAATTGCAGATTCTTAGTAACCATAATAACTGCATTAGATCATTTGTACTTTTAAATTTGACCATTCTTTTAAAGATGAAAGCGACGATAGAACCAGTACAACAAGTGATAACAGTACATTAATTCATGAGTTTGTAGCTTTTAGTATGTCCTAAATTTTGCTTTTTTCTTGATTTTAGAAGAAACTGGGCTGATAACGAATAAAGTTGTACCGACCTACCTACCAACGTCAAATCGTGTGTTAGATGGTTTCCATCGTATTTTTCGCAAAGATATAGTGAGATTAGTCGAAACATGCAATATTCACGAGCATTCTGCAATGTGTTACAAATACTCGAAAGGCAAGTCCAATGGTTCTAAAGTTTGTCGAATGCGTATGCCACGTGTACTCGTGAAGGCTTCTAACATCGATCCTTCTACAGGTCAGATAACTATGCATCGATCACATCCGTGGATCGACAACTTCAATGAATGGCTCTTAAATGCTTGCCGATCCAAAATGGATATTAAATTCATCTAGAATGGTAACGACACTAAAGCTTTAGGGTAATATATAACTGATTATGTAACAGAGTCGACTCTAGCTTTCTATGATATGTTTGCCCTTACGCAGCAAGGAGTCAAATCTATTGAGCAGCAGCAAGTTGATAGTAAAAAGTTTTAAAAATGATTACATAGATATTTAATAAGCAATTTTTCTAGAGATCCTAACATTCTTCTATGATGAACAAGGTGAGGATACAAAAGAAACTGAAGAACAGTTTCTATTAGAGCCAAGACAAATCAAAAGCGGTGATGGGTATGTCATGATAAACACTCGTCTGGACTATTACCATTGATCAAAAGATCTAAGGGCATTATGCCTATATGATTTTATCAGTCATTTTCACAAGAAGGTTATTGACGAATCAGATCGCTATTTACTGAAGAATGAAAATGGGCATGAAGGCGAACGATTATATACCGAAGGAACAAAAATAAACGAACGAAACACATTTAAAAGTGTACACCCACAATGATCATTACATATCATCATTAAACTTACCACTCCAGTGTTACCAGTTCTGCTTGGTTCTCCAATACCCCATCGCGAACGAGAAGAAACACATAAGCGTTATTGTCGTGCATTGCTAACTTTATTCGTGCCATGGAGATCAGTCTACGATCTTTGTGCACTAAATCAGACATGGTCTGAGGCACTGGAAGTTCGAAAACCATTGATCTCTTCTAGTTCACTCAAAATTACAGAAAATATACAAATTTTGCACGAATGTAAGCACAACGAGATGAGCACCTTCATCAAGTTCTTCTAGAAGCACAAAATGACAGCAGCATTGATCCTATTCTGATCCCTAACTCCTATGAAGAAGATCAAAATACTGAAGAAGACGATCTTGAACAGCTTTTGCAAATGCTTTCCATCGTAAATGAGATCATCACAAATACTTACTCGGCATTGACAGTTACTCACGAAAAACGCTATGTTCATGATGCATTACAAGCAATTCATAATACAGATAGATTTGCATTACTCAATGGTGAGTTAATTACTGCCATATTCCGAAAATATTTTGTTTGATTTAGGCCGTACACGTTCTCTGGGCGAAAATAATTATGGTGCCATACACGACGTCCACACATTTGTCGTAGCTCGCGAGCATCATACGTCCACACAT